TCTCTGCCATCTGTTTGGGTGAAAGACTATATAAAGGCTGGTAATCACCATTATCACTAATTATCTATCACTAGAAATCTTTTTCAGTTTACCATTAGCATGAAATTTGAAGCAAGAAGCAGGCTTATTAAATCCTAGAGTAGATTTTTATTCTCTACGGAGACATGTAGTGTACAGAACACTTTGATATTCTAACGTGGACTCTAAGGCCAAAAATATAGTATGTAAGTCAACTGCACTGCTGTGCATGGAACTGCATGCCTGATCCTTGGACTGGGAGGGTTATACAGTTGGTATAATCTGGAAGCTGTTAGGTTCTAGGTGGATGGTCAGCTCTCAGGAAGACTCTGGTAACTGAGGAGTAACAGGTAAGTTTAGAGGGGACTCTGCCCCTGGCATGGAACTCAAAGGCTTGGTAACTCTAAGATTCAGTTATTCTGGGCCCTGAAAAAAAACAGTAATATATATTTCTAATAGGTAGTGAATAAAATGCTCATTCACTTACCCTGCACTATTCACACAAATGCTTAAAACAGTGTTGGGCCCATAGAAGAAGCCTAATAAATGTTCTTGTTTTGTTATTTGTGGTAGCAGTAGAATGATTCTTGGCTTCTTGGCTTGATTTTTTAATTAGGTTGTTTCTAGTGATCTAGAACTTTCAACTTTATTTTAAAGAGTTGAGATAGGAGATTGTCCATGTTTTTTACTATTTTACTAAGCAAACTCTTAATCTAATTGCCTTATACCTACATTATTTCATTTCACAGTTTGATTTCTCTTTCAACACACTGTAAAAATCAAATTAACCTGCTACTGGGAGCCTAGGGCTTATCCAGGAACCAAAGAATATTTTCTAGAAAAATATGGAAGCTTTCCTCTGTGACATATCCTCAGTGACTAAGGACATTCTGGAAAATCTAAATGCATTTAGATTTAAATCTAAATGCATCCTCAGCCTGGCATTTAATGCCCTTGACCATCTAATACCCATCCATATTTCCAGCCTCATTATATAATTGTGCCCTATATGACCTTGGGCTACAATAAATCTAGACCATAAAATAATCTCTGAACCTCTGAGACTAATCTAGAAAATTTACTGAATATATATAAAATACCTTTGTTCTGTACCTTTGTTCATGCCATTTCCTCTTCCAGTAGTGAATTTTTTCCATGTTCTACCCACACTTTTAGGCTGTGGTAAATATGTTTTGGGAAATGTGTCAGCCCAAACTCCCTTTCCTGGGAACCACCACCATCCTCCACACCCCACAAAGGCTGCTAAAGGAATGGGTGTAGGTGACTATGTTTTTATCATATGTCTCCACCCCTACTCTCAATTGAATGAATCATTTCAAGTGCATAGGTGACCCAAACTGGACCCATCAGATTCTTCTCTGGGAACCTGGAATTAACACTCTGAGTCAATTCAACATGAAAAGCTATGTAAAAGCTCATCTAGGGTTCGCTCTTCAGTCAGCACTATGTCACACCAAAGTTATGGAGGACCAGAGACAAAGAGCAAGCAAAGAAAGTAGGTTTGCCAGACAGAAGAGAGCATTCTTGCTAAATTATGCATAGAAGAAGGATCACACCACCACTGAAAGAAAAAGCAACTCTGCTCCTTGACAGCTCCCAGGTTGTTGCTTCATTCCCAGCTGTGTCTCATTTATGTGAGAGCTCTAATATCCTAAAAATAGACCTCCCTTTCAATTGGAGTTAATTTGAGACGGTTTCCGTCCCTTACAACCATTGAGTTTTGCGTTTAAAAAAATACTGCTGCTCAGATGACAAGTCTTTCATGATACGTTCCTGAATCATCCCAGCAGAGATGATTCTTCCCTTGCTATCCTACCTGGTCATAACCTTCTTGCTTCCCTATTCTCTCTGCCTTCTAGTCACTGCACCCCCACCTAGAGGCTTAACCCCCATCCTAAGCCCTAGGATGAATGTTTCATTATCTGAGGAAACTGGAGAAGCCATAGTCGAGTCTCCTCACACTGCTCTGATCAAAGTTGAAGTAGTCAGGCTAGCTTGTTCCTATGCCAAACTCCCAATTCTTTCCTTGCTTTGATTATCTGGTATGTGAAATCCTCTTAAATTGAGCCTATCTTGCCCTGGCCAGTCATTTTCTGAAACCATAGTTCTAAGGCAGGGGAGTCTGCCCAGCCTCCCTAACTTTAGTAACCTACTGTTGTTAGAAGAGCCATTCTCAACTGGAGCAATTTCGCCCCCAGGACATATTTGGCAATGTCTGCTACAACAACCTGGCGGGGGTGGGGGCCTGCTAGCTGCTAGTGGATAGAGACCAGGGATGCTGGTAAACATCCTACAATGCGCAGGACAACCCCACCCCCAGAATAGAGAATTACCCAGCCCCAAATGCCAATAACGTAGAAGTCGAGAAACCCTAATGTAGAGTACTGGGCAAATGACCCTGAACAAGTTATTTAATAACTTCATGCTTCAGAATCTCCCTTCATAAAAATAGATATACTTTGTGTTGGATATCATAGGACCTAACACAGTGACTTTGGAGCCTTTAGTACTGTGCCATAATTATGTTTACACAATGAAAAAAGAAAAACTTGTTAAATAATTATGCCATTACATCACGATCCTTTCCTTATTCTGGCTATAACTTGGGGTTGGAAAAATTCTTGGTGGTGATGAATTTCATGCTTACTAATCAGACCTTCCAAGATTCTAAAGTCTTTGATTATATTTTCTTAATTTTTTAGAATAACATTTTTAAATAAAACATTTTTATTGTGGTAAAATACACATGAGATAAAATTTACCATCTTAATGATTTTTAACATCACTACCATTCATCTCCAGAACTTTTTTTCTGGAAAAACTGAAACTCCATACCCATCAAACAATAACTCCCCATTTCCCCCCCTCCCCTGGCAACCACTATTCTACTTTCTGTTTCTATGATTTTGACTGCTCCAAGACCTCATTTAAGTAGAACTGCACAGTATGTGTCTTTTTGTGACTGGCTTATTTCACTTAGCATAATGGCCTCAAGATTCATCCATGTTGCAGCATGTATCAGAATTTTCTTCCTTTTTACAGCTGAATAATATTCCATTGTAAATATCTACCATATTTTGCTTACTCATTCATCTGCAATAGACGCTTGGGTTGCTTTGACATTTTAGCTATTCTGAACAGTGCTGCTATGAACAGGGGTATACCAATCTTTTCAAGACCCTACTTTTTTTTTTTTTTTGTCTTTTTCCGTGTCCAGCAACGGATTGCAACCCTCAGTGTCGCCCCCGTACCGGACCGGGACCAGCAACGGGATCGCAACCCTCGGTGCTGCTCCCGTGCCTTGCTCAGCCAGTGAGCGGGAACCGGTCTGTATGTGGGATCCGAACCCTCGGGCGGGAGCGCCGCCGTGCTTCCCAAGCGGCGCACTATCCAGTGCGCCACCGGGCCGGCCCCTTCAAGACCCTACTTTTAATTCTTTGGGGTATATACTCAGAAGTGGAATTGCTGGATCATGTGATAATTCTATTTTTATTTCTTTTATTTATTTATTTATTTTTTGGTGGCTGGCTGGTAAGAGGATCCAAACCCTTGACCTTTGGGTTATAAGGCTGAGCTCTAACCAGCTGAGCCAACCAGCTAGCCTGGTAATTCTGTTTTCTAATTTGTTAAGGAACTGCCACACTCTTTTCTGCAGCGTGTACACCATTTCACATTTTCACCAACAGTGCATGAAAATTCAAATTTTTCCACATCCTCTCCAACAATTATTTTCTGTTTTGTTTGGGATTTTTTTTTTAGTAGCTATCCTAATGGTATGAAGTACTATCTCATTGAGGTTTTGATTTGCATTTCCCTAAAGGTTAGTAATCTTGAGCATCTTTTCATGTGCTTATTGGCCATTTGTATATCTTCCTTGGAGAAATGTCTGTTCAAGTCTTTTGCCCATTTTTTTTTCACAGTTTAAGTGCTATGCATTTATTATTAGCTATTATTAAAGCAGGAAGAGGGGAGAAAAAGCTCATATACACTCTACACAATTTCACAAGACACATTGCAGGGAAAAAAGTGCCTGAGATGAATCAAAAGTATCCTAGGGTCTTGGTGGATGCATTCTTGGGGGAGGTGGATCTTTAATTCCTAGAGGGGGGATTTCATTCCTGGAGAGGGCATGCCTATTGGCATCCCTCAAGCAGGGGAAGCCCAATCAGTGGGCCCATGGGTGGTCTCATATCAGGTGGAGGAGCCATTATACTCGGAGGTGGGGTTGCTCTGCCTACAGGTGGAGGTGGAGTCCCCCATCCTGGCGGGTACTGCATTGGCACTCCAGCAATGCTGGCAGTGGCAGCAATAGCAGCAGCTGCTTCAGTGCCTCTTTTTTGTGGAGTCATTACCCACTGGGATGGCCCCCCCAACTCCTTGGACAGGGCCTGCTAATCTAGCAGGTGCCTGGGGAATTGGTATACCAGCTGGAACTCCTCTGCCAGCTGCCCTACCAACTCCAGGGCCTCCCTGCAGCTCCAGCAATGGTACCCGAGCAATGCCAGTATCTTCTGGGTGGGGGGTGGCCCCTCCTCAGTCATAGATACCAAGTTCTCCCCATGCAGCAACACCAGCCCCAAAACCCGCTTTTCTTCATGCTCTGGCTGCTTTGCATACTTTGGCTTGAACTTCCTGAACTCATCAGAATGACAGAAGACCAAATTAATGTGCTTGTCAAAAGCCTAAAGGTGCCATTGAAGATTTGGCCATCTCACAGGATATATCTCGTTCTATAGTCAATGCGCTGCAGAATCTTGCTGCTCTTGCTCACGGTCGTGATTGCTATTCCTCCAAATCTGATGTCCACCATAAACTTTCGGGACCTTTAAGACCTAGGGAAAGCTATAGATGAAGGTGTGATGCAGATTCTCCTAGAAAAAATGCAAGCTGCGCAAAAGGTTCAAACAGTAGATGGAGCTGGTTTTGCTTGGAATCAGCCACCTTGATGTTTCAACACTGCTTTAACCACGTCTTGGTGTCTTAGCTAAGAACACCTGTCTCAGCTCCACCTGCAAGTCCATCACAGGTCCTTGCTGCTGCTGAGAGTGCCTCAGGTACAACTGACACTCTTGTTTGCTCAGTGAGCCTGTCCTGTGTTTGACTTGGACTCCACCTCTGGCACGTGCTGTTCTGTAGTCCGTCTCAGGTGTAAGTGATCCCTTGCTTGCTCCATCGCACTTAGGATAGCTCCTCAGGCCAAGGCATCAGGCATCTCTGGTGGCCGCTCCACTATGCACAGGGCTCTCTTTGCCCATTTTTTAATAGGTTTGTTTGTTTTGTTGTTGTTGAGTTTTAGGAGTTCTCCATAGATTCTGGATATTAATCCTTTATCAGATATATAATTTGCAAATATTTTCTCCCATTCTGTAGGTTGCTTGTCTACTCTGTTGAGAGTATCTTTTGCTGCACAAAATTTTTAGTTTCCATAAAGAGCATTTTGTCTATTCTTTCTTTTGCTGCCTTTTCCTTTGGTGTCATATCCAAGAAATCATTGACAAATCAAATGTTCTGAGGCTTTTGTCCTGTCTTTCCTTGTTCATATACTCCCCTTGATTTGTTTTTAGAGCTTTATTTTCCAGGTAAAGTCTGCAACCTCACCATGTCCTGGGTAAAATACACACAAATTTATTACCTATTGACAAAATTCTAAGGTAATTAGGGTGTGTGCATGTACACACATGCACACATTCGGGGGTTTCACATGCTGCTAGAAATAGAAAAAGCTTTAAACAGCCGTACAGGAAAATATAGATAGATTAGATTGGATAGGCTAATTGCTAAACAAACTGAAGAATGTATAGTGGTTCAAACAAACAAAGTTTATTTCTTGCTTAACATCCAAAATGAGTATTTCCGATTGACAGCACGCTATCTACAAAGTGATAATTCTGAGACCTATCCTCCTTCCTTCTTGTGCCATCTTTAACACATGACTTCCAAGGCTGCTATGTCCATCTGCACAAGGAGAGTAGAGAAGCCATACCTGCCTCTTACCCACCTTGTTTTGGAAGTGACTCACATAGCTTCTACTCCCAAGTCTTTGGCAATAACTAGTCACCCGGCTGTGCCAACATGCAAGACGGCTGGGAAATGTAGTCCCTGACACTATACATAGTTGCTTTTCAGTGAGTGCTCTATGCCTGCACAGTCCAACATAAATGCCTATTGAGCACTTGAAATGTGGCTTGTCCAAATCGAGATGCACTATGTGACATGCACACCAGAATTTGATGACTTACCGTAAAAATGAGAATGTAAATATCTGATTGATAATTTTTATATTGATTACATGTTGAAATGGCAATATTGTAGATATAATGGGTTAAATAAAACATATTATTACAATTGATTTAGCCTGTTTCTTTTTCTTTTCTTAAGATGGTTACTAGAAAATTTTAGATTACGTATGTGGCTTTTATTCCATTTCTATTGGATTAGGCTGCTATGGAAATTAGCCTTCTCTGTTACAGAGACTATCTCATTGAATCAAAACAGGAAATACATCTGGGCCAGTCACAGAAGTAGAAGGAATTGGAAAGCTCTCTGGAGTCAAGATGTGTGTGCTCTCTTGTTCTTTCTTCCTCCCTCTCACTAGAGCCACATCACTGTCTCTGTCTCACTACCTACTGACTTGACTCTTTCTCTCTCTCTCTGTCTCTTTCATCTCTGTTCCAATCAGCTGTAGTCAGGGGAGTTGGGTCATATGGGTTGCTGCCCATTTACCAGAAGCAACGGGAACAGGTTCTCAGGAAGAGGGCACAGGTAGGTCAGACAAACCGACTGACGTGTTTGCTCATCATGTAAACTGTGTAAACACTATGTGGGCTTGGCAGCTGTCAACATTCCAGTTTTTACACTTAATAGATTATATTTACTTTGAGGCCTTTTGTAAGAACTCTGAGTTGAATAGGTGACAAATGTAATCTGAGGGTATATAATTTAACTCATGTCATCACTAAAAAAACCATGAAACTAATCTTTCTTTCTAGGGCTTGTACCAGTGCCCAGAAACAGTCAACGTCACTAGTGAGCTTTGAGTTTCCAACAGTGTACCTTGGGCTCAATGCATATTTATTTAACATCAGATTTAGCCCAGAAGGCCAGGCTCACCCAACCATATGTATCAATTATATGAGAATCCATAATGGGTGATACACCCCCAAATATAAATCTTTTGTAGGTCTGGAACTTTTAAATTTTAGTGCCTTTCTCTGTGTTTAAGAAATGTGTCCAGGTTGCCCCAAATATATATGTGACCTGGAGAGATTAGCAAATGCTTTTATATTCTCAGGAAGTGTTTATATACCAGATGTTGTTCTAAAAGTTTAAGAAATGTGTCCAAGTTGCCCCAAATATATATGTGACCTAGAGAGATTAGCAAATGCTTTTATATTCTCAGGAAGTGTTTATATACCAGATGTTGTTCTAAATTAATTATCACCATTAACAGTGTATCAGAATTAGATTTTTTGGATATTACCTTTCATCCAGAAAGAAAAAATGGGGCCCTTAAGGAATGGAATAAAGGGTAGTATTTTTTGTTGAGAGATAGGATTTGGTTTGCTTCAGAGTACGTCCAGGAAAGATGAGCTTTAGAGAAACCCTGCAGAAGAACACCAATGGACAGCTAGAGTATGAACTGGGGTCCTGGGTGTTTGGGAGGGAAGGGAGGTAGCAGATGGTGCAGAAGGAGGAAGCAGTAGTGTTTCCAAACACTCTTTTGCCTGCTTTGTCATTCTGATGGGACTTGAGCTTTGACAATGGTGCTCTTCCTTCCTAGCTGAGTTTCACAGTCTTGTTTTGATGCTGTGGTCTCTAAAGTCAGTCCGTAGGAGTCTCCTATGTTCCTGAGGTTCTTTTGGACTGGTCTCAGTAACTGGATCACCTTCCAAAAGTGAACTTACAAAGAGCAAAGAGGTAGAATTCAGTTATTACTGTCACATTATTTTTATAATCACATATATGCACTAAAAGACTATTTAAAACCTTTAAAAACATTAAAACACTTTTTTATATCCATAAATCTGTAATATAATTTGAATTTATTTTTAAAAAACCTTGACTTATTTTATACTTTATTTATAAAAGTATAGGTTAAATGCTGAACTTCATTAATTTTTCCTCCCTAATAGCCTGAATATCCTGATTAAAGTAAAAACATTTGATTCATATTTTCTACAGCAATATATATATTTATATTTACATATGTGAATATATTTTGTTAAACTGATACTAAGCAGGGAGGAAAATAGCTAGGAAACTGCAAAAAATAAAAATATTGTCATAGTATATATGGATTAAATTTACAGGAAACTTTATCGTACCTTCGACTTAGAAAAATTTTATAGGTCAGTAAAATATCAAAAGTTAAAAGAGGTATTGATTAATGAATGGAAAGAAAGTTTACAGGTTTTTCCAACTCTTCTTAGTCCATAATAAAAATTAAACACCATTTAGTAGAGTTCAAATAGAAGATATTTAATGTGGAAAAAAACAGTAGCTAGTAAAAAAAAGGGTTTTATTAAAACTGTCAAAATTTTAATGTGGAAATTTATGGTTAATTTTATTTCAGCCTAAACACTGATAAAATATAGAAATATTATAATTTTCTTAACTTTTTAAAATATTCACATATGTGTTGTGTTAAGATATTCTTAGATTTAGACAAAGAAAAGAATACCTAAATTAACAATTGCAGAAATCAAAGGATTTGGGGCAAAATGCTTTAGCCACTTTCTCTGATATAAAAATTTGGCTAATATGTAAAGGTGACTGAGATCTTTAACTAACAGGTCAAGAGTCAAGAGTAAGCCAAGAGGATTGCTGGCTTATTAAAATAAAAAGGGGTCTCAAAGGGAATGGAGGTCAGGGATATTACTAGGGAAGGAAACAGGCAAATCTATAGACCTCCAAAGAATTGGTTTTCATAAGTATGGGTCTCTTTCCTAGTAAGCTGTAATTTCCTACTTGTGCTGTTTAGCTTAATAGAATTTTATCTTAATCAAAAGTAAGTAGGCTTGGCTGGCCAGTTAGTTCAGTTGGTTAGAGCATGTTGCTGATAACACCAAGGTCGGGGCTTTGATCCCCATACCTGCCAGCCACCACAAAAAATAGAATAAAAAAAGTTAAGTAAAGGAGGCTTACTAAAATTCTTGAGTGTTTTGTTTGGTGAATTTCGTGGTTACTATGATGTTGATTCACAGAAGACTGGCATAAATGATACACAATGCTAGAAAACTGAGTTTCAAATGCACTTTTCTTTTATATTCTCATTCCCATAATAGAACAGAAAACTGAGTCAAATGCTGTTGTGCTACTCACACTTCAAATAATATTTAATTAGTTTCTCTGACAAAGCAGTAAATCTTTAAATTAAAGCGTTCAGGAGTGCTTAGCTCCATAAATTCTCTAAGGGAATTTAAATAGGAATAAGTTTTAAACGTATATTTCTTGATGCTTCCCATGAGGTGGCCAATGTTACCCTTTGACCAACATCAAATGTAAATATACTTGATTCTATAAGAGTCCATCACAGGTATTTAATAAAATAAAACTTCACAATGTTAAGGAATTAGAAGACAATCTCCAGAAAGTCAGAGAATGATACAGACAAAATATCAATTGATAAATAAATGCCACATTCTTCTATAACAAAAGACAACATTTACTAACTGCTTATAAAATGCTGTGGCCTGTTTTAGGTGTTTTACGTGAACTGAATTTTTAGTCTTTCTATCAACTCTAGGTAGTTAGTGCTATGAGTATTATTATCCTGTTTTACAGACAAGGAAATGGGGGCACAAATGCATTGAGTAACTTTATAAGAATACAGCACAGGAGGGTTTCTATAGCGAAGCCATGGTTGTGCTGCCTATATTCCCTTGGGTGTTATTAATGTAGCATACACCCAGACCTCACTTCCAACTATTAAAGCCTGCTACAGCCCACCATGCATTATGCAAGACAGTCCAGAAAAATCCCAGGCTAGAATCATCCCTTATTCCTCCCAGGAGCCCTCGACCAATGACTGATGGGATTTTGTATACAATATCCTGGCTCCTTCACCTCTCAACTAGGATAACACTGAGGCACACATTCTATGTTGTTAACAAAGAGTTCCCAAGTAGGATTTAACTGTTTCCCACATAATTTACTTGAACATTCATAATTTAT